AAAAAAAAAAAAAAAAAAAAAAAAAAAAAAAAAAAAAAAAAAAAAAAAAAAAAAAAAAAAAAAAAAAAAAAAAAAGTAGTACTTAAAAAGATTAAAAAAAAAGCTTAAAAAAATCTATAAAAATAAAAAAAATAAGATTTAAAAGCCTTAAACAAGCTTTAATAATAATTATAAAAAAAGAATTAAAAAAAATAAAATAGATAAAAGGAATTCTAAATAAAAAAGATACTTTAAAAATTAAATCTTTAAATAATTTTGAAAGGATAATAATTAAATTTTAGTAATACTATAGTATAACTAGATATATTTATTATATAAATAAATTTGAAAAAACTGATACAAGAATATAAATACTTGAAAAAAAAAAGATATTCTGAAAAAAATATTTTCAAAAAAAAAGATAATTAAAAGGATACTGCAATAAAAAATAGATAATACAAAGTAAATAAAATAATAAATAAGAGTCTTAAAATAGTATTAAATAATATAAAAAAAAGTAAAAAAAGTTATAGTAGCTAACTAAATATAAAAGTAGTTATAATAAACTATAATATCTATATTTAAAAAGTTGTAATTACTAAATTATAATAATAATAATCATAGTATAAAAGTTACTATAGCAGATTATATATAAGTATTTATAAGATAACAAGATAGGTTAAAATCTAAAAAATTAGATATTAAAAGATATATAACTAATTAATAATATTTTTCTTCTATATAAAACAAATTTAAATAAAGTTTTAACATAACTACTAAATAAAAAATATATATATATTTGAATTATAATAAGATATTATATAAAGAATAAATTGTAATAGAATTAATTAGTATTATATATAATATTAGCTAATTTATTGTAATATATTCTTTATATAATATTTTTAAAAATAATATACTTATATTTATTAGTTGAAAAAGTAAAATTCAATCTCTAATCATGTTGAATTAGCTAAAAAATTTAATCTAAATTTGATTTAAAAAAGATTCAAAAAATAACTATTAGCCTAAAATCAAAAACTGATTTAAATCAAATAGTTAAAAAAATAGATTTTAGATTGAATTTTTATAAAATTTGACTTTAAATTAGCCTCTAATTTTAGGTTGAATCTTAAAATTAACTATTTAACCTAAAATTGGCTTCTGATTTTAGGCTAATAGTTATTTTTAGAGTTTTTTTTTAGATCTTTTTTGGATTGAATTTAGGTTAAATTTTTTGACTAATTTAATATAAATTTGATTAAAAAATTAAAATTCAACCTCAAATTAGTTTTAAATTTGAGATCAAATTTTACTTTTTCAACTAGTAATTTGGATCCTGCTACTATTTATTAATATATACTAATTTTTTTACTTGTTTTCTATCTCTTTTAATCACCTTGTCATTAGTTATCCATTCCTTTACTGAATAGTAGCATTTCTCTCTTTTCTTGCAGTAACACGCTCTAAGTAATATGTTATTTATAGGGATGGATCAGTTTCAAATCAGTTCTCACGAACTATTAATTAAAGATATTTAAAACAAAATTTTTTCATAATACTTACTTATTGAAAAGTAGTAGCAAAGCTTCTATAAAAAAATTTACAAAATTTACAAAATGTAAGTTTTATAACCCGTCTTTGGACCGATTTAAGACCGACCGACCGATACAACACTATATGTTAAAATAGGTTTGTTACTATTATTTAATAAGTAAGTACTACTACTAAAATTTTATTTTAAATAATTTTAATTAGTAGTTCATAAAGAAAAAATGATTTCAAAATTTTGATCTATCCGTATATTTTGTTACACAAACGTTAATATGAATATTATTTTTGTTTCACTAATACTGGAATTATTAATATCCTTAATACACTTCAGATAATTAGATATCTTGCATATTAATAAATTAATACTGTACTATGTTATCAGATTAAAATAGGGTTAGAATTAGGAAGGGACTATAGTATAATAAAATCGCACGTAATTAATTATAAAACTCTTTGATGAATAATAATTTTTGTAAAAGATAAAAATACTTCCTTACACTCTGAATAACTAATCTAATTTTATTTTTATTAAATAAATTGCGCATTAAATTAATTTACCTATTTTATTTAATCTTTGCAACAAATATTGGCAAAAATATTTAATTTTTGAAATAATCTTTCGACGAAGAAAAAAATTCAATAATTAATTATTTAATCAAATTATTATTATCCATCTATCTGGTTTAAAATAAATCTAATTCGTCAGTTTAAATTACTATTAAATATCGGATATCGTTCTATAAAATATTAATTAGAATCTTCTGCATCCGTGATTATTTTGTCGAATAATAATCTATGAAATAATTATATGTTATGATATTATTATATAGTTTTATAGAGAATTTTAAATTCCAATTTATTATTATTTATACAAAAATTTTAAAAAAGATCTTAATGAATTCGTCTAATATCCAAGTAGAAATTTTTTTTAACGGGTCCAATCTTTTCGGTGGCGGTATAACCGCAGGTATGGATCAAATAATTTATGAGACCGTTAAAAAAAAATCCAGTCTTTTAAATAAATACTTTTCTAATTTTAAATAATACTTTCCTAATAAATTTAGCCCATCTCTATGTATAACTCAAAGCACGGACGTAAGGACGTGCCAGTTTATTAGTATTATATAAATCGCCAGAATAAAATATAACTTGTCTAAATGAATTTAATTATTAGTTTTTTTTATTAAATAATTGATTAACTTTTTTTGAAAATATTGTTACATACAATGCGTAATATTTGTATATCGCCAAGGAAAAACTTGGAAGATCTTAACATATGGGATCATATGAGTTTCTTTTCTTGGCAATTCTTAATTATGCAAATATAACTTTTAAATCAAATTAATAATTTTTTTTTTTTAAAAAAAAAAATTAATAGTTCTTAATATTATTAAATTATAATTTAATATTTAATACGTTATAATTTTATCTTTAATCCGCAATAGTAATTCTCGGAAAAATAATACGTACTTATTTGTTAAAATGCATAATAAGATTTGTAAAACTAATACATATGTATTTATTTATTAATTAAATTATCTATTTTAAATGTTTATTCAACTAAAATAGTCCTCAACCCCCAGCGAGTTATTTAAATCCGTATGGAAATTAAAGTTGCCAAGAAATATGGTAGATATATAAGTAAATCTGATTTATTTGTCAATTTATAAGAAAGAAAGAAAGAAAGTCTATTTATTGTTGTCATATAATAATAGTATGGTCGTTCACGTTAACAAACTTTGCTACAAAACTTTTGTACTTACATATGATTTTACATGTGACTACAAAACAGCCAATCAAAGGATCGAATGTCAAACTACGATCATCATAGAAGATAAAAAAGATTTATCATTAATATAAAGAAAAATTATAAAAATAAAATATAATCTTTAAGCCATAATTGACAAAAATAGATTGAAATAAATGTATTATCATCTGTTATTAGCTAATCTTACATGCGGTGGTAAAAAATTTTGAATATATCAATGCAATTAATTTCTGCCACATTCTTTAATTAAATTTTTACGTTACCGCATGTATTTGTCTACCACATGATACTTATTATATGTTTACTTAATGAGTTCGTGAAAATTTGTTATTTTTAAAGAATGATAATTATAATGATAATTATCTTTTTTTTTATAAATTTAATTTAAAAGCAAGTTGTCCGTGTCCTTTTTTTTTTTCATTCAACAATTATGGCTTCAATGAATTCCTTTCATTATTATAAATTCAAAATAATAAAAAAATAAATAATTTTCAATCACAAGAACACGTTTTTTAATTTCGGGAAATAAATAAAAAATTAAAATTATTGGCCAACAAACTAAATAATAAACAAAAGTGTGCATAAACCATTTGCACAATACGTAAAATAATAATAATAATCTCCGTAAATTGTATCTTGGTAAATTTATCAAGTTGATAAAGATTATGATGAGTTGTTTCGTTATGACAATTGTAAGGAATAATCCTTACGTAAGTATAATAATAATAATAATAACTTTTTTTTTTTTAATAAATTTTTATTAAATTCATATTTATAAAAATTACAACATTTCCTCTTGTAATAGGATTGGGGGGATGTGCTATGAAGATTATGAAAATGAACGCCAAATTAATTTAATTAAACTATCTTTACATAAAAATGTTGAACCATATGCATGTAATTTCTTAAGACATTTAAAAACTTATATGAATACCTTATTTTTTTTTTTTGATTAGTAACGTTTATAGCATAAATATTTAAGTTAAGTTATCGTTATGTTTACCATAATTTTTAAGTTCCAAGTCACAAGAGAAGTTAGTGATATCAACACAAATGTTTTAATAGAACCAAATTTGTATTGTATCAAATAACATAAAAAAAAAAAATCCCCCCATATAAAAAATGTTCAAAAATGTTCAAAAATTATTAAATTCATTCATCCACTTTTTTTTTTTTTTTTTTTTTAAATAAATAAAGAAAAAAAAAAATCTTGATTTTTTTCTTTACTTTTGTTTTCGCTTGTTTTTTTTTTTTTTTTTTTAAAAAATATATATATATATATATATAATAATAATGATTTAAGGACCTAATACCAAAAGTGGTTTTCCCTTTCCATTAGAATTAAATTGAATTACGAATTCTTCATTTAAATTTACACTTCTTCCAAAAAAGAATTCTTGTAGCGAAGTACACGCACAACAAATACACCAAATATCTTCTTGCGATAAACTTGGACAATTACGAATTCTTAATTTTTCCAATTTTCGCAAACACATAAGTTCAGGAGCGATAACCTTTTTTTTTTTTTGATATAAATCAAAAAAAAAACAAAAAAACAAAAAAAAAGGTTAATAAAACTTTCAAATTAAATAAAAAAAAAAAAAAAAATTAAAAAAATTAAACTTTATGAAAAAATAATAATAAACCTCTTTAGGAATATCTTCAGTACTTGCTAAATAAAATTCTCTTAATTCTATACAATTCTTAACAATAGCATCCAATCCAACAATAGTAAAATCACTCGATGTAGTTAAACATAATTTTCTTAAATTGATACAATGTTTAATTCCTTCAGTTACAATCCTTTCACTAAGACCTTCACAATTCGAAATTTGTAATGAAGTAAGTGTTCCAACAATGTTATATAATAATAAAATTACCGCATGATCACTAATTTTCATCAAATCAAAAATACATAAATCATTAATTGGTGGTCTACTATGAGCAATCGCAATAAGAGATGCATCAGTAAAATTACAATTATAAAGATGAAGTGATGTAAGTCTTATTGATAATATGCTTAAAGTAATATCAGTAACAAGTGGAGTAGAATATTGTAAAGTAACTTTACTAAGCATTATAAGACGTTGAGCCACCAAAGAAAATCCATCATTAGAAAAACTTGAAGCTCGATTTAATGATATTTGAATTGATTCTAATTTAAAAGCATTATTTGCTAAAGCTATTAAAGTATTATTAGTAACTCCCTCATATGGTTCTAATCCAAGGTGACGTAGATTAGTACATCTACTAGCGATATGAGTAAGTGATAAATCGGTAATATGTTGAGGATTGTGAAGGATAAGTGATTCAAGATTTTGATTCATATTAATAGCTATTTGAATTATAGCAGAGTCGTCAAGATTTCCACAATCCCAAACATGTAAATTTTTCAATCTAGAACAACCCTGTGTTATAAGAACGAAAGTTTCATTTTTAATGTTGTTTCCAAAAAGTATTTCAAGTGTAGTAAGATATGACATATTTGCTAGCTGACGTAATGAACGATCCGTAATGCCAATACAATCTCCGAAAGCAAAATATTCTAATCGATTACATCTATTTATAATATTTATAACTGATTCATCAGTAATATAAGGTAAATTCAATAATTTAAGAGATCTTAAATTATAACATCTCTCAGAAATTCTAGTTAAAGCATCATCTCTAAGCTTTTGACAATTAGAAAAATCTATAATCTTTAAGACACCACAACATTCAGTTATAAAATTTAATTCAGCTGCAGGACAATTAAATGAAAGTCGAGATAAATCTAAAGTATGAATCAAACATCCATAAGAATATATAGTAAGACTTTGTTGAGATCTCATTAATGTTCCAATAAATTTAGAAAGTGTTGATTCGCGTTTAAGACGCGGAGCTTTCCAAAGACAAGGAATTGCACAAGTATTCCATAAACGAGAAACTAAACAACATGAAAATAAATCAGATTGTTTTTCTAATAAATGAGAAAATATTTCACATATCATATAAGCATTATCCGATAGTGGTGTCCTAAAAGGAAACTGAATACTTGAATGGCATATAACAGAAGAAGTCATTCGATAGCTTTTAAATATGAAGAATAAAGTTAAATATATAATAATATCAAAGAATTAACCGAGAATCTAATAAATAAAGAGAGAAAAAGAACGTGAAGATAATAAACGAGTTTGGGAAGGGTATAAACCAACTAAAAAGAATCAATTAATTCTTTCTTATCAAATACTAATTGGCGCAAATAGTGACACAAGGTTTTCCAAAAAAGACACGGTCAAGCAGACAGCGCCACAATATGATAAGAAAAATGTAATGTTGCAGTAGTCCAAAAATTATGTGCAGTAAATAGCGACACAGAATCACAGGAAGCAAGAACAGGGTTTTTTGTGGAGTGAAAGATAGTTGCTCAGTGTGACTAGTGAGGCATTACTTTATAAACTTTAATAATTGAACGTCGTTTCTATTTAGAAAGATCTGACATTTCTCAAGCTACATTCATTAAGGACATAATCATTAAGGTAAATTGATTTATGTGTACTAATAAAGGCAGACAATCTTTTCTAATCTACGTTTTTTTTTATAAAACTTTATAATCAATTCGTTACCTGATTTCAAAAAACAAATATTCGGACCAAGAACCTGGATATGGGCCCGTGACCTTTAATAATAATTATGATAGGGAGGTAATTTCACTTATTACGAAAGTATTTTATCCTTTCTTGGATTAACAAGAAATTTACTAAAATCTTTTTAATCAAAATTACGTTACAAATGTCTTTTTTTAAAAAAGAAAAAAAGAACTTTAAAATGCATTTATCTGCAACTTTTAACAATACTTAATATTATAATGTACTGTCACTACGTATGCACAATTAATAATGTACTATATATTTATTTATTTTTATTTTTATTTTTTTTTTTAAACTAACAAGTATTTTTTTTATAACATAACCCGTTTTTTTTTTTTTTTTTTTTCCATAAATAATTTCTAGAAAAATCTTAATTGTTCTAGTATAGTAAAACGCATGCTTATCATAAAGAGATCATAAGAATTATAATGAATTATTATTATATGGAAAATATGATTCCATAATTTGGAATTAAACTATTCCTAATATCATCAACATATAATTCTTCATAAATTCCATCATATTCAAATCTTTGATTTTCCATATCGATATCCCAATCTAAGTCACCAAAGATAGCAATTTTTTTAAATTTACATAAAGTATTATTCTTAAAATCTTTTAAAATATTTTTTGTTAAACCAAATTTTGTTCCAATATATAACCATTTTAAATTTAAAGGTAAATAAATAGCTAATTTTAATAAAAAATCGGAAAAAATTAAAAATTTTTGTTTAGGTTCAGAAATATTATAAAAAATTTCTGTAATAACTAATTTTTGTAAAAATTTTAAATTATTAATAGTATTAAATAAATTTTGTTGATAATTTGAATAAATATATATTGTGAGAGTATAACTAGTTATATATACTTTTTTAGATTATCTAATTTAAGTAATTTGTTTAAAGATTCTATACTAGTTGTCATATCTAAAATCTTTTAGAAGATTCCTTATTTAAATTCTCTAGTTCTATCTCACTTATTACAAATATTACTCTTTAAGTTAATCTGTAATCTCATACTACTCTACTTTAAGAGATATCTAAGCTAATATATGTCACAAACTTTACTATTATAGGTCTAAGTCCTATCTATGTAAGTATTATATTCAATACTCTCTAACAGATAGATGCTACAATATCTAATTATGCTATGTTATATTCTAATCTAGCTTGTATATACCTTTATTCAATATTTGTACAAACCTAGTTCTAACTGTGGCTCTTCACTAGGTTAGACTTCTATAACTTTCTTAATATTTCACAAAGTAGATCTTTCTAATCTAGTTAGCTGCTAAGCCAAGTTAGTATTACTATAACACTCAATATTATGAACTTACTTATATCTACTTAATCTATATCTTCATACTCAAAAATCTTTGCCAGATTAAGTATTAACTTGTATGATCATTAAAATCTGTACTATTTTATCTAACTCAGAATTTCTACTATATAAGTTCTTTGCTTATAGATCCTATCTTAATTTATTCATATAATGCAACTCTAATATTCTATTACACTTCTAATGTCTAATTAATATTAGTGCAATATAATTTATAAAGTTACAACTCTCAAAAATAAACAGAGTTTACTATAAGTTGAGTACAAGATATAAGAAATTATTTAAATTGTCAACAATAAGATTTGAACCCCAAATCTATTGCATAGTAATTTAATAATCTATTTACTATACTAAATTATCAAACCTTAAGTACTATTTAACTTGATTAAATTTTAATATAAAATAATTTTTATCTATTTTATTTTATTATTTTTTATAGTATTTTTATTATTAAAATAATTAATTTTTATAAGGTTTAGTAATCTTAGTGTAGTAGTTAGATTGCTAGACTACTATACAAGAGATCTGGAGTTCAAATTCTACTGTTAACTAATTTGAATAATTACTCAAACTTTTGTACTCAACTTATAGTAAACTCTGCTTGTTTCTGGAGGTTACAACCCTATAAATTATGTTGTACTAATATCAATCAGATATTGGAAGTATGATACAATATTTGAGTTATGTTGCATAAATAAATCTTAATAAGATCTACAAGTAGAGAATTTGTATAGTAGAAATTCTAAGTTTGATAAAGTAGTATAGATTTTAACAGTTAAGCTAGTTAATATCTGATCTAATAAAAAACCTAAGTACAAAAGATATGAGATCAATAAGTGTGAGTAAGTCTACTGTGTAATACAATCTGGTACTTTGCATTAGTGGTAACACCAACCTGGCTTGGTAGCTAACTAGATTGGAAGGATCTATTTTGTGAAATATTCAACTAGAACTTGGAGAACTATATCTAGTAGATAGCTATAGCAAAAATTAGATTCGTACAAATATCAATAAGAATCTAAGCTAAGTACATCTGTAAAATGAGTACATAACCACTCTGGTAAGAATTACTTCTGAGGTTAGCTAGAGCTCTGCAGCTCACAATATATTAGGCAATATATACTTTGAAGAAGATCTAAGCTATGCGATAAATAGATCTGCATATAAGTCAATTAGCTTAAATAGTCAGATATAGTAGTAATATTAGTTTGAGATAAAGAAAAGAGTTAATGATCAGAGTATTTAAATAGATAACTCACAAGTAGGTTACAGATATAGCAGAATAGTCAATCATAAGTATAGTAGACTACTTAAATTAGATAATGACTAAAGTTATATATATAGCTTGTTGTATACTTATCATATACTATAAAACCTTAGCAAACTGTTTATGTGATAGTTCTATAATAACAAACTAATAAAATCTAATCAGCCAAGGAAGTAGCCTTAATAACAAAAAAAATAAATAAATAAATAGTTAATTTCTTTAATATATTTATTTATACTGGTCAAAATTAAAAATATTATCTAAATATCTGTATATAATCGGAAAGGGTGATAGCAGACCAATATGATGAAGACTATAATCAGATTTTTTATAATGATAATAATAGGCTAATAGGCTAAAGATTTTGGTGAAATATGTCAAATTTTAGTTTATAGCCAGATTAAAATACTTAAATATCAGGTATAAGATTATTATAAGATTTTGTGATAATATGCTGTTAGCAAGTTTAAAGATATACTAAAATTAGATAAATTATAAGCTGATATATTATTAGCTAGTTTATTTAAAAATTTGCTAATTAAACTGATATTTTAGCAAA